AAATTCACTACACAAAATTTAAATTCAAATGTTTTGGGTTTGTCTTGTAGGTTTTATATGTATATAAAATATCAGGCATATGTTAACATAATTATTTTATGGAATTGATGTTTATCATGCCTACTAAACTAAAAAAAATGCGTAGGTCACGCTTGGTGTTACAAACTTTAATTTGTCTTTTTCTTAAAATGGAACAAGTGGTTTAACATTCACATTTTTAAAATATGAATTGAGCAAAAAATATAATGATTATTTAAATAATGTTCACTTCTAGTAGAAAAACTAGAGATTCTCCAATGCGATCTTCAACACTTATTAGCCAATAATCATCCCCACTCTTGTCTGTTGCATAAATATGGGACTTATACATCGAGCAAGATTCAACATTTTTCAACATTTTGTTGGTAAAAAAAAACAGTAATGTATCTGTTAACATGAAGTAAACTGCTACTTTCTTCTTTTAATAAAAATCCATAAGTATTCACATTAGACGAAATTAGAATATCTTTATTCTAACTAGACTCACACACGACTTTGACCGAAGCTTAACACAATAATAATGTTTTTAACGAATCAATCGCATCTTCTATTTTATCAAGCTTACAATTGCCAGAGTAACTAGTTGGTTTGGTATTTAAACCTTGAGGCAAGTTACATGAACTTCCAGATATGTGTAAATAATCGACTTAATGAAAAAAATGAGTAAATAATATAACTAAAAGTTCCATGAAAATCGGCTTAAATTTTTTTCAACAGGTAATTACAAGAAAACGGCTCGGTAGATTTTCACTTAAAACTAACCAGTACCATTCCCAACTAATATCTTTCGAACAGTTTTTGATTTTTTAAAATCGGTTCGGTAGGATGAGCTTAAATGTGGACGAAAATTTAACACTTTTTTTCAACAGTTAATTACAGGAAAACGGCTTGGTAGATTTTCACCTAAAATTAACCAGTACCATTCCCAACTAATATCTTTCGAACAGTTTTTGATTTTTGAAGTAAAACTTCTTTAGGCGCGATATGGGTGTAAAAATTTTTAGGCGCGACACGGGTGTAAATCCGTACAAATGCAACGAAAATGCCAACGTGTAGTTGAACACTACGACGCCGTAAGCGCTGATGTCGCGAGTATCCACTCCCGTCATGTCATGCGTAAGTCGAGCGCTAAACCCTATATGAACTTGCATTAATTGAATCACGTTTTTTTTACAAAAGAAGAGGTTGCTGTATTATGTCCTCATGGATTAAGACTTTTCTTAGAGAATAAATGTGCCATGGAATATAATAAATTTATATTGAATCTCGTTGAAGACAAAATAATATCTACTGCCACGGATATTTATGTAGGTTGCCATGCGACAGATCAACAATCATACATTCGTCAGCAGTTTCAAAAAAATCGGTTATTGATACCGGGGCTTTGCCGTATGAAATAATTTAGTTCTGAATAAATTTTACATAATAACAACTAATATTGATGTAAGTGATGGCTTAGCTAATGGTTGTGTAGGAAAATTAGTGTACATAGAACGTGGCGATAATGATGAACTTCTACGTTTATGGTTTGAATTTCCTGGTAAGATAAGTAACAAAATTAGGAAGAAAGCTTCACATCATATTCAAACTCTTAATATCAGTAGGACAGCTGTGCCGATGCTCAGGAGATCTTATTATTATTGATGTTATATGATTATTAAAAGATGATTTTTAAAATTCAAATATGATGTTTTTTTTATTTTTATCTTAATTGCCTACTCATACAATATTAAAAGTTTTACTTCAATCGCGTGTGATCCTTACGCGCACTCTTTTTTTTAAAATCGGTTCGGTAGGATGAGCTTAAATATTGACGAAAATTTAACACTTTTTTTCAACAGTTAATTACAAGAAAACGGCTCGGTAGATTTTCACCTAAAATTAATCAGTATCATTCCCAACTAATATCTTTCGAACAGTTTTTGATATTTTAAAATCGGTTCGGTAGGATGAGCCTAAATATCGATGAAAATTTAACACTTTTTTTCAACAGTTAATTACAAGAAAACGGCTCGGTAGATTTTCACCTAAAACTAAGCAGTATCATTCCCAACTAATATCTTTCGAACAGTTTTTGATTTTTTAAAATCGGTTCGGTAGGATGAGCGTAAATGTGGACGAAAAGTTTAATACTTTTTTCCAAATTACAAAGAAACGGCTCGGCTGATCGTTGCACAAAACTGAGAAACGATAATCCTCATCGAGATACATCAAATGCTTTTTAAATATCTGAAATCGGTTCAGGCGTTTTTGAGAAAACGTCGATGAAAATTCTAATTTTGACAAATGCCAAAACGACCATACTAATTTTTGCAAACTTTGACGAATTTTTAAAGCTAAACGAGTTGTCGTAGGGCCGTAATATTTTAGTATGACCTAGAAGACTGTGGTATCTACCGTCGAAAAAAAAATCATAAAAATCGTCGAAATTTTTTTTTTAAAAACTTTATTACAAGAAAACGGCCCGGCCGATCTTTACCAAATACTAATCAGCACGATTCCCAACTAATATCTATCGAATGGTTTTTGAATTTTTCCACTTTTCTGCAATTTACAAAGAAACGGCTCGGCCGATCGCCGCACAAAACTCGACAATAAAACGACAGTCCTCATCGAGATACATCGAATGACTTTTAAATTTTTGAAATCGGTCCAGCCGTTTTAGAGAAAACGTCGATTTACGGCAAAAAATCTGTTCACACACACACACACATACACACACACACACACACACACACACACACACACACACACACATAGTTTTTCCAAATTTGGTCTCATTCGATTCAGAATGGCTTGGAACGTCGAGAAAACATAAAATTAGCGATTCGCATTTTTTGATGAAAACATAAACTTCTCCTTCGGGAAGTTAAAAATGGAATGGATGCATTTCGATTATTAATTCCGTCTAATACAAACAAAAATAAATTCTAGAGGGTCTTGGTTTAAATAACGAGTTGAGTAAAACTTAATTTTCGGATACTTTATCTTACTGCCAAATATTTTAGAAACCTTTTATTGTTTTAATCTAATTTTGAATAGTTGGAGATAGTTTTGATCTTCTCGTCATGGTTTAAATAACTAGTTGACTAAAACTTAATTTCCGGATACTTTATTTTTACTGCCAAATATTTTAAAAACCTTTTATTGTTTTAATCCAATTTTGAATAGTTTGAGAGAGTTTTTTATCTTCTCGTCTTTTTTAAAGAAGCTAAGACACGTCTAGCTTCTTTACAAAATGCTTAATGGTTAGAATCGGCTAGAGAGAAATAGAGAGCTCTTCATAGAGCTTTACAGTTTTTTTTTGCAAAACTGGAAGCTTATTGTGAATGATGAATTTTAATTATGAATTCAATAGAATACATTTTACATTATTTTTACTTTCTTACTTTGCTTAGTAGCGTATATCTATAAGAGAACTCTGCGGCAGTCCCTCACTCTCATCTTCCTCATCTTTTCAGTATATACCTTATGTGATCGCAAATTACAGCGCATGCGGAAAAGTGGCAACTTTGAATCAATTTCATTCAATTTGATTATACGATTTCAGGATGTCCTTTTCTGTTGATTTTGTTGTATGAAAGTTACAACATATGATAAAAAAATTCAGTTGATGTGGAGGATCATATAGGCTTTCAGTTTCTTGCTCGCCAACAAGAGAACCCTGAAGTTTGTAAATTAGACAACATGTTTATTGCAGATACATCTCTTTCGTGTGCATCACATACGGTAGCTACAATATTGATACCAATTGCTTGCCGGTTTGAAATTGCAGGCCTTTGAGTTCAGAACTTTTAACATTGCTTTCAGCGAAGAAGTATGCCACTGATTGTTTGAAATATCCTCGAATTTTTTAAACGCTGAATACCAAAGCAAAATCAACAAACTTCTCTCGCAGACTTTCTCAAAGCCATTCATGCTGTACTTACTATTGTCATATTCAATATATTCTGAAATGCCAATTTAATCAAACAGTTTCTATTAGATGGACCCATCCTGAGAATAGAATTTGTACCACCATCTTCACAAGCTCTAGTGCTTGATGTTGGTTTTAATTTCCTGGATTGATTTTATTGCTGAAAAGACGCGGTTGTATGCTTTTCTTACCTTTTTCTATTGTATTTCTCAATTGTATTTCGCTTTAAAGGTCATAAACTCTTTTCAACACTGCACCTCTACTGAGCCAGTGTACTTTGGTATTGAAGATAACATTGCTATGATTTCCAAATTGCTTAGGAATTCTTTGAACTCATAGTGATTTGAACCCCTGTGACTTCATGAAATTTAGTAATTTAATTACTGGTGCTGTACCATGAAGTAAATTTAATTTCTTTCACACAAACTTTCTCGATGATTTATCCAGTGGTTACCAAATATTTCTTTTCCTGTGTTAATGTTTGGGTAAAGTCTTTCCGCTACTTCTACATTGATATTGCTGGTGGTGCAGATGGGCACCACCCATTGATATACTAATTTATTGAATTATCTGTTGATATACTTTTTATTGAATTTTTTTCATAATTTGTTATAAGGGTCTTAAGAGGTTGTAATCCCTTGCATAGGAACCAGATAACAAAACTCTTCATTAATATTGATTTCAGTATCAATACCACGTATAGATATAGCGAGTTGTGCTGTGTCGCTAATGTCACAACTTTTATCAAGTGCCAAAGAACAGTATTCAAATTCAGCAATGCGTGCACGAAGCGTTATTGCTTTTGTATAGAGTGGTCGAACATGCCTTTTAGTTCCCTGAGCGTGGACAGGAATTTTAGTCACTTCAATACCTACTAGCCTTTGTGAGCCTCAGCCAAAATGTTTGGAAGAATGGAAGATGATTTACAATTGTTTGCATGCTTGTTGGTTTTCTCAAATATCAATAATGTTTTATCGTAGATCTTTCAAAATTGGAGTATGCAGTTGGCAGAGAAAATTGTGACATAAATTTAACTACAGACGAAATGTCTGTTGAACACCTACAATTTATATCTAGGACACATTTTAAACTTAAACGAGACAGTAGGAATTCTCCTTTTTATTTAGAAGATTTTTCTCGAAATGGAACATTCATAAATGGTGAAAAAGTTGGCAAAGGAAACCGAAGAATATTGCAAAATGAAGATGTTATAGCAATAGGTAGTGATTTCAGAAAATTGTTTAGATTTTTTGATCGTTTCACGCATACTGTGCATAAATCCCAAATCTCATCAAAGATGACTACTACATTTCTCGTGAGCTTGGAAGCGGTGCATGTGGTGTTGTGAGATTAATATTTAACAAAAGGACATGTGATAAATTTGCTATGAAGTAGATCATCAAGAGTAAAGCAGATGATGAAAAGAAATTAAACCATCCTAATCGTATTATGAATGAAATTAATATTATGAAAAAATTAGATCATCCATTCATAGTTAGTGTCTACAACATTGTTGAAACTCCTGAAGCAGTATTTTTGGTATTGGAACTTATGAATGGAGGTGATTTATATAATAAAATTAAAGAGTCAAAATATCTGAAAAAACCAATTGTTAAGAATATTATATACCAAATAGCTGTTGCTGTTAATTACTTACATCGGCAGAACATTACACATAGAGATTTAAAACCTGAGAATATTCCGTTACAAAGAAATACTATCAGAGAATTGTTACTATCAAACTATCAGAGTAAGTAAAATTGTTGAAGGTAACACAGTGTTAAAAACTGAATGTGGTACTGCATGGTATGTTGCTCCCGAAGTGATATTAAAGAATTATAAAACTTATACTGAAAAAGTTGATGTTTGGAGTCTAGGTGTAATATTATTTGTTTGTCTTTGTGGATGCTTACCCTTCTCAGCAGCTGATCAAATTTGCAAAGGAAAATACTCTTTCAAACAATGTATTTGGTCTTCGGTTAGTGCTGAATGCAAAGATTTAATTTCTAAAATGTTAAAAGTAGATCCAAAAACTAGATATAGCAGTTCCGAAGTTCTTAATCATAAATGGTTACAGGATCCCGATGTTATTAAGCGTTACAATAATTTATTAAATCAGGAAAATGAAAAACAGGAAATTACTGTTTCTGATTTGGAAGATTCAATAAATGAACATTGTAATAATTCTTGTCCTGAAAATTGTCTAGATATAATAGAACCACCTGCCAAACGTCATCGAAGTCTACTTATTTTTTAGCGAATCAAAAGTTTGGTTTGTTATCAGTATTAAAAGGAACAAAATGTACATGTTACATACAAATGTAGTTCTATGCTCTAAGTGATAAAATTGCCAAAATTATATTTAAAATATGAAATATTTTTATAAATAATAGTGAATAATACTTTTGATAATTGCACCCTGAGAAAAAAAGCATACATTATGATGTTTTCTTCTTTGTAAAACTTGTCTAGCTAGTAAAATTTATCTAGCTTTTTCTGTTTGTATGCTAAGAGCATAGAAGGAAAAGTCTTGTTAGCATTTGTCTATTTTGGGTTTAACTCATAGTTTTTAAGTTGAGAACATGTACCTGATTTTGATTATAACATGTTGCATGTTACCTCAGTTGTGCTCCACAATAAAATGTACCTAATAATTTAAGAATGTTATGAATTGAGTTACTTTATCAGAATATATTTTTTATTATTGATGAATAATAATTATTGATGAATAATGTGCAATTGGCCCTGGTTTCATGTTAGCCAAATCAGCTGATACATCACCAGAAGCAACTGCCTCAGCTTGTTCCTAAGGCTAAATAACTTTCCTCAGTTGTCAATTCAACAGCAGTTGAGGGGTCACACCACTGTAGCATCCAAAAGAAAACTTGTGTTTTTGCCATTTTTTCGGGCGATTTTTTTAAGGTTAATGAACATACTAAACCATTAAAGTCCTATGGAAACTGATTCAATTATAAAAATTATTGATATTTGAAAATTTGCTGTTAGAAAATACTCCAAGTTAACGTGTTCATTTGATTTCAGTTATGTGTAATAAATGCACTCGGAATACTTTTAAACACTCATAATAAATTTATTTATTTTTTATTGATTAAGTCGATCATTTAAACATATCGGGAAGTTCATATTAAAATTGTAGTTGAAAAATTAAGTATAGTGCCCATCTGTTCGAATAATGTTTCCAGGATAGTTTGAAGTTCAGAGATATCTTTGGCATTGCTCTCGATTACTTGATTCGTGCTGCTTGGTATTTCTTGTGTCGTATTTGTGTTTGTGTTTCGGCTAGTAATTCGCGAGTAAGATAAGACTTGAATTACTGCAGAATTTCTGTTAATATTAGGATTGTTGGTTGTAGTCTCAGTCGTAACGGAGGGAATTTTCGATTGAGCTTTTCCTTGTAGACTTGTCATCCCCTGTAGTTTGTGGGGTGATTTTGACCGCGGAGTACGCACTTGACGTTCTTGTTAATTTTGCCTTTCCATAAACATTTTTGGGTGTAATGTTCTACAGCGCACTTAACACACTGTGGAGTTAACTTTTGCTCGAATTTTACTGTTTTCCTCTTTCTTGCTGGTGATTTGTCAACATCGGAGCGGTTTTGCATTGATTGTAGGTTTACTAGAAATAATTATAATTTAGTTTAATTATAATTTAATCAGGCGACATAATCAGTATTAGTTTTGCAAGCTATGAGTGAAAAGGATTAAAATATGCTAATAAAGTTACATAGAAATAAAACAACTACAATTCAAAATATAACACTGCCATAAAATATATTCATAATAAATGAAATTGCATTTTGCTTTCAGGCAACTTGCGCATGAATTTCCCGACATGTATAATAATTAAATTAATCAACCAAAATTAAAATTTTGATATTTAGATAAAATTTTCAACTGTTTATTTTGAAAATAAAGTTTTTGCTTTCAATTAAATCTTTGACACAATTTTTTAATATTATTTCAAACTTTGATGATTATAGGTTTAATTAAATTAAACGACTTATCGTAGGGTCCTAAAATTTTAGTATATTCTTTAGAACCATTATATCTATCAACATAAAATATTTTATAGAAGGAATTCGATCTTCAGCAAAAACTAACCAGTATCTAAAATAGTTTAAGAATATTTTTTGCGAAATACATACTTCCTAACCCATACAGCACATGGTTGACACAGGGTCACAATGGGCTGTAGGGTTAACCCATGGTCAATCCACTGGTACCATATATGAACATAGGTTAACCCATGGCGACACTTATGTCAGAGCCATGGTTTGACTCATGGTCAACCCGACGGGTTCAATGCTATGGGACTGGAATGGTATTGCCATGGGTTAAAATGGCGATATATAGTGCAATAATGGTTGCATACTTTCCGTGCGTATTTGTAATAAATAATTCATATAGTTATAAGTATTGAATGAACTAAAACTGCAATTCCATTGTAACATATTTATTAAATGATATTTTATTTACACTACTAAAAATAACTAAATTAAAGTTACTACTACTAAAACTTAACTAAATCATTGGTAATCATCATTCTAAAACTTATCATTATCTTATTATCTAGTATTATTAAATTTAAAGTAATTATTTAATTTTTTATTTTAATTATTTTCATTATCATTATCATTATTCACACTGGGTTCATCACCTTCTAAAGCACTGGAAAGAACAAATTTTGAATTATTATAAACTATAGTTTTACAGGTTTATTTTATATAATAAATAATGTTAATTGGCATTTTGGAAATATCTGGAATATATTTCAACTTACGGAGCATTTCGGACAAATCTGTCATGGACATGACGCAGCCATCCCTTGACACACTGTTCAACTTGGCTCTGCGTCACACGCTGTTGTTCAGATAACATATCTGAAAACATTATTGGTTCAATTAATTATTTGTTTAAATAATAAATAGTTTGAAGTAAGTGATTTAATGTATTAATTAATACTTATAATTATTTTTACTATTAGGAGGGCCGAAAAATTCTTTTTTGCTTTGCCTCCATCCCAGCTGTACTCCTTTGCTACCACATTCTTAAATACCATTTTAAAAGGGATGTGGTAGCGCTTTTACAGGCTACGCCACCAATTCGTTCTAGGCGTGCTTTCTATAAATGATACAGTATATGTAATTGATTTGTCCATTTTATCCATTGAGGAACATCATATTTACCAATTTTTCTGCTATTGACGCATCTGTCAATAGCTGTTCCACATTTTGCAGTTCTGCCTCCGTCGACACCGGAAATTTATTGTACACTGCCAGTGTATAATCAGGCGAAAAGTTGTCCCAACTTCATAATGTACATTAACATTGATATAATTAATGTAATGAAATAACTCACTTTTGTACCCCTCCATGGGCTCTGTGCTGCTCCCAGAACCATGGTCAAACATCATATTCCCATCATCACAATCTTAAATATAATATTAGGTGATATTATATGTAACATTAGTACACTTTTTAATAGATTACTTACAAGTGTTAATTAGAAGCCTTTCATTTGGCGTTGGTCCCCTATTAACTACTGATGTGGAATCTAAAATTTTAGATTAATAATATCAACATAACAACTCTTTATTTGATTTGCATTGGGTTTACTTACTGCTCTGCATGGTATGTCTAAACAATCTGTTAAAGAAGCCTGAAAATAAAATGGTTTAAACTGAATTGAATTGAACATGAGATATATATTACATATATATTACATGCCAGTGTATATATATATATATATATATATATATATATATATATATATATGTATATATATATATTACTCTAGCAGCATTGTTATCAAGCCTGTCCATTACAGATTAGTGCTTGCTATCTATGCTTGCACACATTTGTTCAGAATTCAGATGGATTTTTGTATCCAATTTTAATATGAGTTTCTCCAATTCTGTTTTTTCAAGCTGTCTTAACTTCATAATGCAACATAGGCTCTATGCTGCCCCCAGCAGCATGATCAAACATCCTTTTGGCCTCATCGCAATCTTAAATATAATATTAGGTGATATGATTCACATACATTAATATACTTTTTAGGAGATTACTTACAAGTATTAATTAACTTCCCGTAGGGTAAGTTATTCTAATGGGCCGAAAATCGGAATTGAAATTTTTTACATTTCTCGACGTTTTGAAGGTTTCTGAACGTTTTGGCATACCTCAGAAAAAATGGATGTGTGTGTGTGTGTATGTATGTATGTATGGATACAAATTTTCGCCCACGTTTTCGGGCGTACGGATTAAGGGGGGCGATACATGTAATCGCCTTAATTTTTACCATTTTTTGAGGACTTTTTAAACTGGGAAGGAATGACTGAATCTTTTTGAACTTTTTTAGGGTTATTTATTATATATTAAAATACACAAAAAAAAATTAAATTTTTGAAGTAAAACTTCTTTAGGCGCGATATGGGTGTAAAAATTTCTTTATGCTACACGGGTGTAAATCCGTACAAATGCAACGAAAGCGCCAACGTGAAGTTGAACACTACGACGCCGTAAGCGCTGATGTCGCGAGTATCCACTCCCGTCATGTCATGCGTAAGTCGAGCGCTAAACCCGCTAAACCCTATATGAACTTGCATTAATTGAATAACGTTTTTTTACAAAAGAAGAGGTAGCTGTATTATGTCCTCATGGAATAAGACATTTCTTAGAGAATAAATGTGTCATGGAATATAATAAATTTATACTGAATCTCGTTGAAGACAAAATAATATCTACTGCCACGGATATTTATGTAGGTTGCCATGCGACAGATCAACAATCATACATTCGTCAGCAGTTTCACAAAAATCGGTTATTGATACCGGGGGTTTGCCGTATGAAATAATTTTAGTTCTGAATAATTTTAGTTCTGAATAAATTTTACATAATAACTAATATTGATGTAAGTGATGGCTTAGCCTGCTAAGCCGACCCCTAGCTAAGCCTTAGCTAATGGTTGTGTAGGAAAATTAGTGTACATAGAACGTGGCGATAATGATGAACTTCTACGTTTATGGTTTGAATTTCCTGGTAAGATAAGTAACAAAATTAGGAAGAAAGCTTCACATCATATTCAAACTCTTAATATCAGTAGGGCAGCTGTGCCGATTCTCAGGAGATCTTCATCTATTCCAATGAATAGAAATAAAACCATATTTGCCAAAAGAAATCATTTTCCTTTAGTGTCTGCTTGTGCACTCACAATACACAAATCACAAGGTGGTACT